TCAGGTTCTGTTTAAGCTTGGTATTTTCGGCTGAACTATTTGTTAAGAAGATGTAACTATAGTACCGTTCTTCAGCGTATTCCGAGACTTTCTTCTGGTCATCGGCTCCTAGGTCAGCGTATGCTGTGTTTGGGTGGAGTAGTTTCGCCGTATGCAGCAGGGCTGCATCGTGTATCTTGGAAATACCACGGATTTTGCAATGTCCTTTTTCGTGGTAAATTGCTCGTGGTATTCGGAAGCGGTAAGGCTCCCTTGGTGGAAATTCAACAGTTGTTTTTCCAGTTGGAATAATGTGTGGTACACAAAATTATCATCGGTCTGGGCCATGATCGTCTTATGGATCATTTTTCGTAGCTCCAGTGGGTCGCATCTAACAGGACGTCTTCGTAGTCCGTGTTCTGCTTCATCTTGTCCTTTAATAGTCGGGTGCACTGCCCTAGGATCAAGTTGAATGCCTTGCCTCTATTTTCTTGTAGTTTTGCCAACCTCGTAAGGTGGGTCTTCATCAGCCCTGCATACTCTGTCTCTCTCGAGTCTCGCCGAGTTCCTCGTCCGGTGGATCTTCTATGGCTGCAGTGAGGTTGGCTATTTCATTTTCGAGTTTTGCTTTCTCTATCGTTAGTGTGCGTAAGCTACCGAGATTGGGTTTTCAATGACCTCTGCTATCTCGTCTTCCAGTAGCTCTAGGCTTTCCTCGGTCGCCGTTAGGAGACGAAGGTTGTTCTGTTCACGTCGTTCCGCTGCCGCGTCAAGCCTGTTCCGGGTCTCCTCTGAGTACACCGGTGCTACCAACACTGTCTGTTTTCAGGTTGCGTAGCTCATTGCTCATGTCGCACCCATCGTTTGTCCAACGTGGATGACGATCTTCTCCCATGTGCGTATCATTTGGTCTGCCGTTCCAGATCCAGTTGTACCGAAATTAAACACATGTGTGTCGAGGGCTTTGCATGAACTTTCTGCTGGTTCGACGATGGCTGGTTCTTCCATGTCCTCGTGCTTGCCGCCTCCTCGGCCACCTCGTCCTTTACCTCTACCGCTCATTGTCTATGCTACGGTAGGTGGACTATTTCAATTCGTTGTTTTTTGATTGACTAGCTCTTTTAATTTAAGTTCTCGTCCGACTACTTATTCGTTCTTATGGCTATGGGCGATAAATTCAATTATACTCCTGGCTAGGGAGTGTTAAATCTATTTACTAAAGATCTTGCAGGGAGGGAACGATTGCTTCACACACTGTGCGGTCGTTTCCACTCCGAACCCGTTTCTTTGTATTGTTGATTCCTTGTTGGGTGCCTTTCCTTTGGCCCTGCGCTGGCACTATGGCTTTCGCGCTTGTTGTTGGCTCTGACAGTTCCGGCTGGATGCTGTCGGCTCTCGCAATCCTTGTGGATTCTGCCGATGTAACTCTGCTGCGTCGTCGACTGCAGCTCCTATCGGCACGACGGTCTCGTCGTCCGATCTTGTTCTTCGAATCCGTCCTCGGATCCTTCACTCGTTGCTGTCGTTCGTTCGACAGGCTTCTCTTGTTGCAGCGTCGCTGTTGCTGTCGATCCTTCGACAGGCTTCTTCTCTTGGTCGGTATCGTATCGTCTTCCTTGCAGCGGTAGCGTCGTCCTCGACGTTCTTCTACCCGTCGCGTCGTCGTCGGCCGATCCGTACTCGATCCTCTTGCGTCTTCCTGCTACCGTTTGCTTCGTTGCTTCGATAGGCTCCTCTTTTCGCTTCTTCGCTGTCGATACACCGACTACTGCTATTCGATAGCAGTGCTTTTTCAGTAGTATGTTAGTTGCTCTAAGCTCTCTTCTAGTTTACTGTTGCTATTGAGATACTACTGAAAAAGTGGGTTCCTTGGCTTTTTCTACTGGCATCAAATTCTAGTACAGAGGTACAGGTTGAATCCCTAATCGCGAATCCCCAACATGGACGACCCCCTTGCCACATGGACAACCGTTTTCATGGGCATACTTGAGGACTTCAAAATGTCCACCTCTAGCAGCAGCTTCACATGTGTGCTCATCCCATGGACAACCATTTTCATGGGCATACTTGTGGACTTCAAAGTGTGCATTTGCAGCAGCAGCTTTACATGTGTACTCAGACCATGGACAGCCATTTTCATGGGCAAACTTGAGGATTTCCAAGTGTCCATTCTCAGCAGCAGCTGCACATGTGTACTCAGACCATGGGCAGCCATATTCATGGGCATACTTGAGGACTTCAAAGTGTGCATTTGCAGCAGCAGCTTTACATGTGTACTCAGACCATGGACAGCCATTTTCATGGGCAAACTTGAGGATTTCCAAGTGTCCATTCTCAGCAGCAGCTGCACATGTGTACTCAGACCATGGGCAGCCATTTTCATGGGCATACTTGAGGACTTCAAAGTGTCCATTTCTAGAAGCTTGACTGCAAGTACTGATGTGCCATGGACAGCCATTTTCATGGGCGTACTTGAGGACTTCCAAATGCCCAAATATAGCAGCAAACAAGCAAGTGAGTCCATCCCATGGGCAGCCATTTTACTGCCAACCCTGGCAATGAATGTGCAAACACTGACTTGGTCAAGAGTTTTGTGTCCTGAGTTGCCAGAGTCCCAGTGTTCTGCACATAATACATTGTAAAACACCGCATTGTACATGGTGTCAGTGTTGTTTGCTGGGCGCTTCCCAGTACCAATAGATATATCCTTTACTGCTGGAGGACTCTCCACATTGTTACAATAATCCTTGTACAGATGGTTTAGTTTCTTGTTGACACCTCCCACAAAGGCATACTGTCCCATTCCCAGGAATGGAAGAATCCCCCCAATCCAGAGGTCTGTCTCTTCCAAGAAAGAGTCAACAGGATGTGGCAACAGTTTCTGCCGTTTGGGGCTTCTGGGCTGGGAAGACATGATGGGGAAGATTGTTGTTCTGTATGATGATGATGAAGATGATGATGTATACTTGGAGCTTTCTTGTTGTAAAGGAAGCTATCTTTTGTGATTTCTTGGTGGGTGACTTTCGTTTTGGCGAAGAATTCCACGATGAACGTGGAACGTGGAGTTGCAGTCATCAATCATCAGTTTTATGATGGGAGAAGCGTGTGTGAATAGGAGTATTCATTCTTGCATCCTTCATATCCCTTTCATCAAACCGTAGCCATTCTCTTTAATCCTTTTGTTTGCGGTTTTGAAAATCTCTCAACGCGGCGGGATCCAATGAGATCTGGATCGTCCATCGTTCTCATCCATCATCGCCCATCGCCATCCCCAACCACCAAACATGCTGGCCAACAAAGCACCTCTGTGATCATTGGGAAGTAATAACATTGGGGTGACGAATAGAAATAGAAAAGGATGAGTGAAGCACAGCTCAAGTCGTTGGTTCTTATCCCAAAGTTCACGGGGGGGCTTTCGATGATTGGGTGAGTTTTGGCACTTTTGCTTCGCTCCAAGTTAGTTGCCTGCAATCTGCAATGTAGCTGGTTCGCGGTACAGTACCGATCTTCTACAATGGTAACTCTCAAACCACTTGCACTCTTGCACACTGTTGATGTTTCGCCGTATCTTTGCATTCAGGTCAAGCATTGTCTGCTGGGATATCCTACGAGATAGACAGAAAAAATTGAAAAAGGTCTACCATCGGCTTCTTCTAGTGATGAGTTCCATGGATATCGTCCTCTCCTTTTCCCTGTTCTTGTCAACATGGCCTATTCCAGAAGATACTCCCAACGCCCCCTGGTTGGCAGCTGGCAATGATGCCACCTGCACAGCACAAGGCTTTGCTCAGGTTTTCTTCATGCCAGCCCTCTTCTATAACGCTTATCTGTCCATCTACTATGTATTGGTGATTGTCTATGGCTGGTCGGAGCGCAGGATTGTTCCTCTCGAGAAATGTGCGCATGGATTCACATTTGTCTTTAGCTGTGTGACCGCCTTTACGGCGTTGGCACTCGGCATGTATGGATCCAACTTTTTGGTATGGTGTTTCATTACTGGATCATGGAACATTCAATTGGCCATCAACATTGCTTGGCAGTGGGCAGCCTGGGTGGTCGTTTTGTCATGATGGGGTTTCTATGTTGGAAGATTGGGAAGCAGTTTCGGGCGCAGCAAAGGTACGGTGAAGAGGCTGTACGAGCCACCATGGATCATCAGCAAAGCGATCGACGAACCAGTTGGTTGCAAAAGAAGACATGGTCCAACATGTCATTCAAGGTATCCCTGGAGGGAAATTCGTCCAGGAGGACCAGCACTTTCACGATGAATTCCCAGCCCTCCCAAAGAAGGAACAGGAAGGAGCAAGTCATGCGTCTAATCACAACACAGGCAGCTCTGTATTCTTTCTCCTATTTGCTGACAGAATCTTCCAACATTGCAGTCAGCATTGCCTACTACACCAGTGATCCAGTAGGATCAGTTCCTGTTTGGGTGTTGCAATACGCACTGATCACCATTCCTCTCCAAGGTACGTCTTTATTTGTGGGGATTCAATCTTGACGAACTGAGCAGTGGCGAATAAAGTCTTGCTGACACTAATGAATCGCTTCTGGTTCAGGTTTTTGGAATTGTTTGATCTATTTCAGACCAAGATTCTTGAAATGGAAAGAGGAGAGAGCAGAGAAAATGGACGCTACAAGAAGAACCGAAACGGGAGGAGATACCCAGCAATTCCCAGCACAAAACGCTTTAGGTTACGCTCCTGCGTCAACCGTCAACAGCTGCCCCAACGTGGAGGAAGGAAAACAAGAAGAGGCGGAATTCGATGAAACGATTGACGAAGAAACATCCACCGTGTTGCCTAACCTTTGCATGGAGGATTTTGATGAGGCAGAAATCCATTCTCAGCTTGCCATTGAATTGAACAATTCAAAGCTGGCCTCGTCGGAATACATGACAACATGCAAGGAACAGGAGGAACAGCCCGAACAAAAAAGTTGACGAGGAAGTTCAGCAGCAAGTTGAAGCGAAACTGCGGGCAGGGTCGAACAGAACGGAAGACGACCTCGAATCGTGAGTTCGCTTCTACCTATGCTTTGAGCGTACTTTTATTAGTGGACTGGTCGATGGGAAGACCCCACAAACAGCATCCACGTACATCATCGTGCAAGAACGAGCACGGGACGGCATGCGGGTAAACAAACTAAGCTGCGTTTATGCAGCAAACGAACTTCAGATGCCGGTCCACAAATGCAGCAAGCCCCGCGCCCAGCAAATCTTCAACAATTTGCCAGGATTACGGTGGATGGAGTGTCATCAAAGACGCGGAATGACAAGAGCAAAGCGTTCCATTACACATACCATCAATCCCAAATCCACATCACCCCGCACGTTGTGGGTTCATTATGTTGGAACGCTATCCTACATGATAGTGTTCACCTTCGGGAATCAGAAAATCACCGAGCAGGCCGCCAAACTAGCACACCGAGAGATTACACTCAAGGAAGTTTGCGAGATGTTGGACGGATACTATGGCAGCCTGGAGCCTTTTGGTGGAACCAAACAGTATCTTTCATGAGTGCTGGATTCCCCTTCAGCATTGGGTCAAATGCCAGAAAGGTCAGGCAAGAAGAGAGTTGCAGGAATCTCCGCAAAGTTGGATGCGTTCGAACGTGATGGGAATGACCTGGAGGAGGTAGGGACGAAGGTGCGTCTACTGACGGCGATGGAGAATCTATTGTGGAAGGTGTAGATGATGATCATATAGTGCATCTACGGTAGAAGATAGGGACGTGCACCAGGATGAATCAGGCAACAATTCAAGATGCTGCTGCAATAGATTTGTACAGTACAGTGTAGGAGCGACGATCCCGGAAGAAGAGCGACGACCCAGCATGATACCAAAGGAACGCACCGTAACGAAAGGGTTGGAACGATAAACTTCACAGTTCTGCAGGTAGACACTGCAAGGAAGACCAGGAGCTATAGATGTGATGTGTGGCTGGTTTGCTTTCGAAGTAACTATCAAAATTGTGCTTTGGCTAGCTGGTTAGCGTTGTATTTTGTGATTCTTCCGAAAAGCCACTGCATTGGTGAGTATCAGTTCACAGGACGGCTGTGGCAACTGGTTGCTGCAGAGTTGTTTGCTTTCTCAGAAACATGGAGTATTTACGGAAGCTGAGAGCGATGGTCTCGGCCACGAGAGGAGCCAAACACACCTAACGAACTTGAATCATCAACGTCAAGGGTACCGATAGGCTGCTGTTGCATGCAGGCGCACTCCATTGCATACGGCATAATATCATATCCCGTTTGCCGTTTGCGAGTTCAGAGTATGTCAGTAACTTCATGAGAAGCGACATTCACTACAGCAGTCCGGAAAATGGCAGGATACATCTGGATTGGGGCCGCCACAATCTGATGTGACGTATGTGAAGATACCATTCCATCCCTTTAGAGCGCAGATTTCATCCGGCATTCCTCCCGTCAAGTCATTATCATGCAGCTTTAGCTCATTGAGGTTTGCAAGACTTCCTAGTTCAGAAGGGATGGTCCCATGGAGAAGGTTTTCCTCCAATTGAAGGTACTCTTTGGGAGAAAAGAGTAACAGCGACGAAAAAGAGGAACATGGGGGCCATCAGTAAAACCACAACTTGAAACAGTAGAGTGACCGCCAACGAGTGCTCTGAATGACTAACCACTTACCAAGATGTACAAGGTTCCCCATTGTGGCGGGCAGTGTCCCTGTTAGTCCACGCTTTGCTGCACAACCAAGCATCATCATTTTTGTGAGACTTTGAATGGTGCAAAACAAGCAAGTTACATTGGCAACATTGACTTACGCAACACAATGCTCTCAATGTGGTTGTAATAATCACAAAAGATACCCTCATAGTGGCAAGGGTTACACCCAGTCATCAGCCAGTTCATCTCATATAGAATCCCGCTCGTCTCCGAATTGCCAGTGGCAAAATAAAAGTCTACTACAGCCAGGAGTTCTTGGGCTTGCTCCGTATTCGAGTCCACCTCATCATAGCAGTTGTTGCTGTTTATCCATTCTTCAGCGGGGAAGATTGATGATGTGCAAAATTGAGTGTTGTGTGTCGAGCAGAGTAACTTGTTCAGAAGGGCTTCTCCTGGGAAAGCTTGGCAATGGCTGAGGAACCCTACTACTAGCAACGGTAGTAGTATGGACCTCCTACTAGGGGGGCTTCCTAACTTGCTATCGACAGCCCGTAGTGTCATTTGCACTTTTGCCTTGACAATCTTCCTGGTCCTCTCCGCCTCGAGGCAGCTGATTCCAACAAGGGTGTGAAGTCCGGTGGGACAAAAACACGACAACGCGACCGCAAGAAGAGGAAGTCGACGGTGGTGGTTTCAGGATTGTTTCTGGAATTTCTCGATACAATGGGTTAAAAAAATCGTGCACTTAGGTATCCTGAACAGCTCAGCAAAACGTGGGCATTCTTTGGTTCCAAAGGGCCGCATGGCTCCAGCCTCCTCTACAAGACTTGTTGTCTACGTGCACGCCAAACTTTTGTTTTCGTTTTCGACCAATTTGTGAGGCAAAGCACGTAAAATTACGCTTGTCGCCAGCGGTGCCCCTGCGCACCGTCAGGCACCAAAATTCGAGCTGATGTCGCAGTACAAACAGCAACGGCACAGTCACACACAGCTCGGTTGATGAGAGGAGGCAGGTAGCAATCCATGTATGTGTTCGGCATGCTGTATTTTGTTTCGTGTGACTTTCCCTTTCAATGAAGAAGGGCCAAGCAATTAGGAGTATACCGGTATGTTTGGTTAGGCACAACACGTGGGAATGGGGCAGATGGCAAAATTGTGAAGCATTGAGGCGGAAAAGTTTCAACACATGTTACTTTGTCATGTGGCAACCGTATTATACCACTGGTAATGATAACCCTCCATGCAAAAGCAAGCATAATGGCGAATGATATTACTATGTAGCTATGTTGATTCTCTAGCTAGTCTCCTTGATCTGGCTAGTCGTGGCTCTCACAGAGGGCGGAGCGAATACAAGGCAGGACGAGCCAAGCAAAAAGAAAAGCAATCATGGGGAGATTCCGCCCTGAGCCAACATTGCGGCTTCAACAGGATCCATGCCACGCATCGAATCGAGGTAGCACGCATCACAACATGTCCACATTTGGCATTTGAATTCTCGGTCTGGACGTCCACAATCGGCAGAGACATAAACCTTTGAGCCACCTCCATTGAAACCCCCAATGAGACATACTTCTTCCGGCATGCTGCCCTTCAGGTCATTGTAATGCAGCTCCATTCGTTCTATAAGAGGAGACATTAGGTGAGGAGAGTTAGTTGCTTGCTTTTGTGGAATACCCAGGTATGGATCTACGCCAACCTGAACAATGCAGGCAGAGCCAAACTAAACTTACCAAGGTTGTAAAGAAGGCCAAGTTCCGTCGGTACTTTACCTACACAAGTGGAAGTTGCAAAGAGACGATAAAACAACATGAGACTTATGCGATGACCTACTAGCGAGGCTAGGACGAGCAAGTACGAGGCGGTCCATTTACCTTCAAATTCGTTGGCGCTGAGAATCAAAGTTTCTGGAGACGTGAATAAGAAGGATAAGTTGTTAGCTTCAGGCTAGCTAGAAATGCGTCAAATAATAGACAAAGTCTTACTCAAAGAATTCTGGAGGAAAGCAAGTTCGGTCGGTATCTTGTTGACTAGGGGAGGATCCATTCCGCCTACAAGTTGATAAGAGAAGCAATGAATGAAAGGACATGGTGAATAAACAAGTTACTTGCCATCTCATCAGCTTCTTCTGTATAGTCATCTTTCCATAAATAACTCACCAACATCTAATCCAGTAACTTCCCCCAAACCATTGCATGTCACACCGGCCCAGTTACAATAGTCGCAATCATCAAGCCATCCCAAGTCAAACAAGGCGCCTGTCTTGTAGGTGTTGCCTGTGAGGAAATAGAAATCTGCCAGAACCTGCATACTTGTCGTGTTTTCTGCCAAACATGTTGACTCGATCCAATAATCGGCTCGATTCCCGACGCAGAGAAGGGGTTCCACCAACCCGGGGCAGAACCATCCGATTTGGGGCGGCCACATTCCTGCAGCAGGCGATGGTATCACCAAGAGAACGACCAGCAGCAGAAAGCTGCCATTTCTTGTGGAAGAGAAGGATAAGCTCATGGTGGTACACTTATTTGTTCCGGATTGTTGCTGCAATGCACTGCAATGCAATGCATTGCTCACGAGCCATGGCGCCATGAATCGAAGCAGAACGAACGGTGTTTGGTTTTTGAAGGTCCCCTGACTGCATCCAACGGTCATCTCGTGAGCACCCAGAGGTGCGCCGCCGCTTCGTGGGCAAACAGGTTGTGTGATTAAGGTCTCATCCCGTACACTTTATCCTATAGTCCTTTTAGGGTTTGATTAAGGTTAGTTTACCAGATGCTTTTGGTACCAGATGATGATCTTTCGCACTTGGATGACGGTGAGAAGATGAAAGGAATGAGACCTGGAGTACATGTATGTATGTGAATAGCTGTAACCGTGGCCAAGATCATAGAAACAAATCATTGCAAAAGCCAATGAGGAGATGCGTGCCATGGATCGTCAAACCCAATCCCAGCAGCCTGGGCTCTGGACGACTCGTCGCGTAAAAGGTAAATCGGAGATGATGTTCCAACGTTTGGTGGACCGCCTGTTCAGTGCTACCGTTGTCTTTTGCGCGTTTTTGGCATTTCTTCGAGCACAATTCGATGGGACATCTAGTATGCAGGAGCACCGGGTCTGTGACCAACACAATCGCCAACATCCTTCGACGGGAAGCAAGCCACGAGTGGTGGACCTCTACGCCGTTCATGGGCGTTCAGATGTCCTGTTCCGACAACACAAGGCGACCGTCGCAACCCCCAAAAGGGTGCTCTTGGAGGACAAATCTCCTAGGCAAAGGGGAAACTTCACGGACAAGTCGGAGAATCAAGACTGGATTTTGGATTCGGATGAATATGCCAAGAAGGGAGAACCCATGTACTCGACCGACCCTCCTTGTGAGCCAATGCATAGCTGGCAAATGCAAACCAACCCTGTTTGCAACCTTCTCCATGAAAAAGACATGACGAATTTCTTCCGGTATCAAGAACAGCAGTCTGAGAGTAGTAATGGCAGAAACGAAGCACCAAAGGACATTTTGCATGAAAACGTCCGATACCTGGCCGCGGGGGGATACCGAGAAGTCTACATGATCCAAGACGACGCTATCCACACGGACTGGAAAGATAACCGATTGGCACTCAAGACACTCAAGTATAGTCGAAACTTCACCGAACGTCATACGGATCGACACCGGCGAGATGCCGTGGCGGCAGATCGTTTGACTTCGACTCCTGAAAGTGTCAACATCTATGGCTTTTGCGGGAACAGTGCCTTGTACCAGTTCGCCAAGGGAGGCAATCTACGAGACGCCATTGCGAGATACATTTCCAATCCCGCCACGCCAGAGGCTGCCTGGAGCACTGAAATACGCCTCCAAATTGCCTATCAAGGTAAGTGAAAGCAACAGGGGACTTTTTGCGCCGCTTGCTACATGTACTCAATACCTCACTCTGCTCCTGCTGCAACTAACTGTTTACAGTGGCCTCTGGAATTGCCGCCGTTCACAATGTCGATGAAGAGGGTCGGGCGTCTCTTGCACACACTGACATTAGTACCGACCAGTTTATCTCTCTGGATGGCCGTATTGTGTTCAAGATTAACGATTTCAACCGAGCCAGGTTCTTGCGAAAGAATTCTCTCGACAATTCCTCCTGTCCCTTCACTGTGAAGAGTAACAAGGGCAAGTTCAGAGCTCCTGAAGAGTATCGTTATGATCCCGAGACTGAAGCGATTGATGTCTACAGCATGGGGAACATTTTTTTCGTCTTGTTGACAGGCAAGTACCCGTTTGGCCAGTTCACAAAGAAGGCAGTCAAAAGAGCAGTGGCTAGAGGACTAAGGCCGGACTTTGGAGCCCTCGTGGACAGTGCGGATCCACACGTTCAGACATTGATCCAAGCAGCCCGGATGTGTTGGACTCACGACCCCTCGGAGAGGGCTACTGCTCGGCAAGTTCAACTCTTTCTACAGTCCAAGTTGCCGCCATCAGCGAGCTGAGACCATAATGCCCTGTCAGCTTCAATTTACACTTCCAACTAGCTAGAACCATGTCATGCTTTGTCCAACACGGAAACCGTGCACATACCCCAGAGATTTGGTTAGTTCAATGTAATGTAGGTTTTGCCATGGTGCGATGGAAGCATCGTAACTTGCCTTTTTTCTTTTTTACTGGATTTTCACTGCCCATGCAGTCATCTGTCAAGGCAGCGTCAAAGAAAGAATGCCCCAATGAACAGATTTGAAGCTACCACACTGCAGCACCCTGGGCCAGGAGTTTTGTATTGGTCCTGATGTAGATCTTGGAACCGGGTCAGGAGTGACACTGGGTGTAGACGCAGTTGGAGGCTCCTTTTGCAAACTTGGGACGAGTACAGGCCCTAGAGCTGAACTTGAGGGTGAGTCCAGGTTTGGCAAGGTGTACATCTTGGACCTGAAAGTGCAGAATTCTGAAACTGAGGTGCGTGCAGTAGAGGTGCGTGCAGAGAGGTGCGTGCAGGAGGGTGCAGCCGAGGTGCGTGCCCGAGGTGCGTGCCCTAGAGGTGCGTGCCCTAGAGGTGCGTGCCCTACTACTAGAGGTGCGTGCCCTAGAGGTGCGAATTCTGACGCCGACATGGGTGCCCTAGAGGTGCAGAATACTGACGCCAACAAACTGACGCCGATGCAGTAGAGGTGCAGAATTCTGCTGCCGAGATGAACGCCCTACCTAGAGGAGGTGCAGAATTCTGATACCGGTACCAACTGTTAGACCTGGACCGTAAAACCAAAATATTGCATTATTGTAATGGATTTGGAGGGGGCCAGGTGGTAAGTGAAGATGATTTTTGTAGTTGACCACAGCTTCCAACATAGAGACCCGGTTCCCATTTGGTTGTCAGCACCCCACCGTATCCTATTTTAATGTTGATGCAACCCTAGTCAAAGTGTCGAAGAAAGAATTTATACTAGTAGTTGCATGTAGAAGTATGCAGTTAATATTGTACAGTGCCTGGGCTCTTGCGAGCTACGCTTGTTTTGCAATTCGCTTGACAACATTGCGCATGAATGTATCTGAGCATACATAACTGCCCCGCGACAGCCTGCAGACAAGGAGGCGGCAGCGTCTTAGAGATATCCGCTGAATGCTTTGTCGATCACTCCAAGGCTGAACGGCTTGGAGATGTAGCCATCTCCCCCAGCATCCGATGCCTCTTCCTCGAACTTCTCTGATACGTTAGCCGTCACAAACACCACCTTGGGAAGCGCCTTGTCACCTCGATGCTTTACGATGAGCTTCGTTGCCTCTAGACCATCCATGATGGGCATCTGGTGTTGGCAAGAATCAAAGTTTCAATCTGTTAGAGATCCATAGTGTGCAGTTTGCTGTGAATCATTTCTGCTCGTGGACTTACCTGCATATCCATGAAAATGAGATCAAATTCCTGTTCTTTATTCTTGGTCACGGCTATTTCCCCATTGTCCGCAAACTCCACGTTGGTCACTCCCAAGCGACTGAGCATCCTGCCAAGCACCTTTTGGTTGATAATGTTGTCTTCTGCAACCAATATTCGAAGTCTGTCGTAGGAGATGGGTCTGGCAGCTTCTGGGCTCTCGACTTCCGGACCTCCATGCGAGGACGCCTTCATTTGGGCCGCCAACGACCGTATCAACACGGACGGCAGTACTTGCCGCAACGACCGAAAGTGAAGGTTGGTTTCCTTGACGCCGTAGTTGGGCCCATGCGTCACCATGGCGGTCTTTTGCTTGGTCAAATTTTTGAATTGCTTGTGCTGAGTCGCATCGTGTAGTTGCTCGTCCACCAAAGTGAGATAGAATCGATCCTTCTGCAATCCGTTGTTGGGGGGTGACATGGTTTCCAACAACGATTCCATGCTGTCGAATCGGCGAACATTGTTGACGCCCAACTCACTTAGAAGATTGCTTCCCGAGTTGCTACCGGGTTGTTCAATGGAAATGATTTCCCCTCGCTGGAGTTCCTTGGTCAGGGGTTTCACATCGAACAATTTCCCCGTAAAGGGAAAGTCTACGGCAAACTCGGTCCATTGTCCCACGACACTGTCCACCGAAATGGCTCCACCCAACCCCTTGACCAACTTGGTGACAATGGCCAAGCCGAGGCCTGAGAAAAGCAATGTTAGTATGTATGTGAGCGGCCAGTGTGATACTAATAGGCAAGACACACAAACAGTTCGGAAACGTACCTGTACCACCATGGCTGGTTTCAATCATGGAATTGGCCTGCTTGAATGGTTTAAAGATACGGGCGAAGTCCTTCCTTGGTATTCCGTTGCCATAATCCTTGACGCGGAAGCGAAGAATCTTGTCACACGTTCTCAATCCTTCACTCAGCTGATCTTCTTCGGTCAACATCATGGCCCCCGGCGGTGATTTACTACTCCCCATGCTGCTGCTGCTATCTTGTTTCTCTGGTTCTTTGCCACTGAGAAAGGGGCAGCCTCCCGCCGTGGCTGGTTGACTTGGAGGAGCATCTTTGGTTGGTTCTTTCCCACCGAGGAATGGACAGCCACCACCACTACCCGACGGCTTGGACGAAACCGGTTTGTCGGTTTCTGCCGCTGCCGTCTCGTCCCGTTCGGTTGTAGCGTTCGTCGGATCAGGTCTCTCAGTGTCCGCCTCCTCTCCTTGCGGTTGTGGTGCTGTATCTTCTAATTGTTGTTGCTGTTGTCGATACGGATTCTCCACCAACCCCACCTTGAGTTCAATGACTCCTTCGGGCGGACTAAACTTGACCGAGTTTCCCAGCAGATTGTAAAGTATTTGTTGCAGTCGTCGGTTGTCCATGTCAATGGTTTCGGGTACGGCCGGATCATAACTGGTGGCCACGGTAAGGTTTTTGTCGCGTGCCTTTTGGGCAATGGAGTGTACGACGGCATCCAAACAGGTTTGTATATTGGATGGTTTGACGGCAATTTCGACATTACCCGTTTCGAGTTTGCTGTAATCGAGGACATCATTGACTACCGTCAAAAGTAAATCCCCCGATGTGACAATCATTTGTAGACAGTCCTGTTGGTAAGGACTGAGATTGGTTTCTTGGAGTAGCGAGGACAAGCCAATAACGCAGTTGAGGGGTGTTCGAATCTCGTGGGTGATACTGGCAAATGTCTGCAACTGCGCCTGTGAAGCGGCCTCCAACTTGCGATTGACTTCTTCGAGTGATTCGTTGGACTTTTGGAGTTCCTGGGTTCGTTCCTGGACCCGCTGCTCGAGCGTATCGACGAGTTCCTGGTTCTTGCGAACGGCATTGTATGCTTGAATGAGATTGGAACAGGTCGTGACGAAGGGCTCTAGAAACTCGACATCTGCCTCTGTATATCCGCCGGGTTTGTTGGCAATGCCGACCATGCCAACGAGTTGTGCGGGTCCATTGTCATCGCGCGTGGTGGATTCGAAAAAGGGAATTCCCAGAAAGTGATCGAGCGGAGGATGTCCTTCCGGGATCCCGCAGGCCGCCGGATGATCCTGCGGTGCGTTGCAGACCATTGGTTCGGCCGTGACAATGACTTGGCCAAAGAGAGACTTCATATTGAAGAATTTCAAGCCGTGATCCACATTGTCATTGTAGAACGCTCTTGTCACGGCATTCCACGCAATGTTGGTAATGGCATGCGTCTGTAGATAGGGCGATCCATCTTCTTCCTTGTACATGACTTCGCCAATGAACCCGTACTCGCTGTCCATCAGATCCAACAGCTTTTCCAACAACGTCCCAAAGACCACACGGGGTTCTTCGCGCATCAAGTACTGACGCTGCACAGTGGCAATGCCATCCAGCAAACGCAACTTGTCGTGGTCCAGTCTCGCTCTCTTGCTGGCGGGTTGATCATTACTACTAGTACTTGTCGTCGAGCTCTCGGAACTGGCGGCCGTCGCAAACGAAAGATCATCGTCGTCATCGTTGTACTCGTACTCGTGATCCGTCACCACAATCGTCGGTTCTGCGGCTGTCATGGTCGTCATGGTCTTGTCTTGTCAAAATACTTTCTTGTGGGCTTTTTCTTCAAAAGTAGGAACAATTGAGGAGCGTTTGCTTGTTGTGTTGGGTTTTGCTGGTCCGAAGAAGTGGGGTTCGACGGTTCGCCAGTGGGCAAACTCTCGCGCTTACCTGGCGATCAAATCTCAGCCTCCATCTCTTTCCATCTCCGGTGCCGTTCGGTGCCTTTGGCCTGTACCGGTTCCAGTACGAGGTGTACACGGTCCGAGAAACAGATGATGGTTGCCGTCGAAAAACACGAGCAAGACGACACAGTAGATCGCGATTCGCGATTGGTGTCGTCAGTAGCAGTGATGTCCTTTGAAGAAATCTAGGGTTTTACACGGATGTTAAATAAAAGATGACGCCTACTGTTCTGCGGAAAGTCAAAACAAGCTTCGACATTCGGCAAACAGGTCAGCTGGTACGACTGTACCAGGTACAACTCGCATTTATAAGAAGCCGATGAGGACTGACTGAGAACTACTAACTACTGTACTAGTAGCTACCAGTAGCTAGCTACGGTACTCCATTAGAGCGCTAAGCTCTGACCATTCGCCCAGTTTCGCCAATGGCCATACGGTACGTAACAACAAAGCAACAGCGAAGCAAAGAAGGAAGAAGGTTATTTGTCGAGATCAATGGACATTTCAAGGAGAAGAGCAGCTTATAAATCAACTCCACAGTCAGTCCAGAGTGACTCAGTCAGTCAGATGAACGTCAGAAAAGGAGGGAACACGAGGTTTTCGCAATGGGGCTGCGATTGAAAAGAAAATGAGAAAGGAACCTCTCGATTGCTATGCTCGCAGAAAAGATCTGATGATGATTAAAGATTCGATTCAAAGATTCTGACCCAAAAGCTCACCAAAGGAAAGCAGTGACGGCAGCTGCTGAGATATCATAGCTGTGACGATACAGATAGATAGATTTTAAGATTGTTTGGGGCTCGACCCGCAGCTGCACAATAATCGATCTGTTCAAGACTTATCAGTGATGATTCACCTCGTGGGTTTGCCGGAAGGTACCTGGTATGGTACTGTCTTTGTCTTTGTCTTTGTCTCACTGTCTTCTGTCTTCTGTCTTCTACTCAAAGTAGTCTAGCTGTGGCCAGTATTAAGACACTGTTTCGCTTGCAACAGGGATTGGACAGATATCCTTTTAAAAGACTTTGATCCAGCTGGAACAATGATGGTACCGGTACCAGTACTGTACTGAATAACTGTATAGTAAAGTCAGAATCCGGTGATCTTCATTATTCATTTTCAGCAAAAAGAATTGTTTTGAATTTTTCCCATTTTCATATTCCTCTTCCCCTGAGTGGCGAACAAGCCTGGCAATGTTAGGAGATTGAATGAGATCAGTGAGATGATGACAACTCTACGGATTGTAGTAGCAGTGATCCTTTGGACCTTGTGTTCAATCGAGGTCTCCTCCTCCCAATCCTCAGTCTCGTTCCAAGCGTTTCCCAACATTTCTGCGTGCCATGACAAATCAGGGACCGAAAATTCTCTCATTCCACTGTCACCCACAAGCACATTCGAAGAATGCCTGGATCTAGCGGCAAACCGTTCGTGCTACTCGGTCTGCTGGTCCAAACAAGCAAAAGCCGACAATTGCCATTGTCACGTGACGCCCATTTGGATGCCTCTGCCAAACACTTCCGTGGATTCCGCCGTTCTCGATTGGCCCTGTACCAGCCCGAAGGATTGCTCGTACAATGGCATTTGCCATACTACTAGTAGTAGTAGTACTCCGAAATGCCACTGCCATGCCGGATGGGATGGAGTACGATGCGGAGCACTGCAATTCCTTCCCGTCGACAAGGACACTCCTGGATTCCGTCAAGTCAATGCCACGACAAGACACAATAATATCAGTACGTGGGGAGCATCCATTCTATGGGACCACCAAACGCAACAATGGCACGGATGGGTTTCGGAAATCGTCAATGAATGTGGCATTAATGCGTGGAACGTAAATTCGCAAATTGTCCACATTACCAGTCATCATGGCAGTCCAAGTGGTCCCTTTCAACGACAAGATATCTTTGCCACTCCCTTTGCACACGAACCCAGCGTCACGAGAGGACCTCGAGGCGAATGGGTCATGCTCTATTCGGCATACAACAACCTCACTCGTCACATCACTCATCATCACGAAGGATACAATGCCAGCACGTGGCAACGAGTGGCGTGTACCAATTGCAGTCAAGGAGCCAGTCTCTCTCCAGTGGGGAGCAAGGGATGTCCCTTTCAACGAGGGCAACCCACGAAACTCAATCATCTCTACATTCAAATGATGGCGATTGCATCCCACCCCAATGGGCCTTGGAGACACGTCGAAATACCCAAATTGACCATGCCGTGGGATTGGAATACTGCCATGACCATTCGCCCAAATAGTGAAGAGGCCATTGCCCTGATTCGAGGTGGTATGGTATGGCACGCCCACCAATACGATGATCCCCACAGTTGGCATCCACTCAATGGTCGTGCTGATCCAGATGATGATCACCAACCATCTCCACACTGGCCAATTCCCGTCGAAGATCCATACATTTGGTACGATGACACGAATGGCGTCTACCATGCACTGGCGCATTGCTTTGACCCCTTTTTTGGAGTGCATGCCTATGCCGCCGACGACAAACACCACCACAACCATTCTTCTTTGAAACTATTGAATTGGACCGTCACGGGAGTTGCCTATGACAATGTCGTTCACTTTACCGATGGGACCCAGTACGCCTTTGGCCGTCGGGAACGACCCTTTTTGATTTGGGGCAAAATGGGACAACTCGTGGCTCTGTCCAATGGAGTCGCCTATGGGACACCCAATCCATTTGCTGTGGGCCATGACATGACATTTACACTGATAGCGCCCATTGTGCAGCAACAACAAGAAGCAGTCACCAAGTGAAACGGACTTCTCGAGTATAGCTAGCTGACTGACAGCATAGACGAGAAGAGCTTCATGTATGACGACAAAAGCCACCTTTTGAGCAATCTGGCCAAGCTAGCTAGGTCCCTTCCAAAACAAAACTGGCCGCAACACAATCACTCCACCAGCCTTTTGTGGTGGGCAATCGAGCTAAGCTACCGTACTGGTACCACCCACGACCTGGAAGGCAGATACATGTACCGGTATGTGAGTGGCGAAATTCAATCTATCTATCTTTCTAGCAGGCTATCCGGATACATGTAGTGGGAGCAATGCACTCACTACGGTAGCTAGCTAGTGAAGCAAAACGGAACAAGACCTGAGCTCACCAGCTTTGTAGCAACTCGGGGATCCATACGGTAGCTTGAAGGAGGTGTTGCAAAAAGGGAACGAAGCACATGGACTTTTTTTGTGGGTTCACCAGTTGCTAAAGGATCCCTTGTTTGCACAACAGTTCGGAACAAGACAGACAGATGATGCTCTGATGCCGATGCTTTGCCGTCGTCATCCTAGCTGGCTACCGGGTATTCGTATCGGCACTACCATCGCTTGTGCCCAGTCGACCACTACCTATTTTAATCCCAGCATCTGGTGACTGAATCAATAGAATTCAGCATGTTGGCGCTACCGCTCGGCTTCCCATGAAGTTGTAGTTAGAAACACAATTTTACGGTTAGCCAAAATTGTGAGCATTACTTAGGCTTAAAAATGTCGTCCTGCTCATCTATCCATAGTACTTAGGTTGACAGTTACATCAATGAGTGGCGCGGCACCAATCGTACATTTTGGACCAACCACCACTGCACTCCGAAGAAGGTCGATCTTTCGCATTCTCGCATCATCACTCTTGCATTCTCACAGGCAAGCCATCCCACGGGTCAGCGGTGCCAGTTAACCAACAATAGACCTCCACAACAGTAGAGGTGCTTCATTGCCTGTCTCCTCCTCCCTTATAGATTGATCAAAAGCTCGTAATCGCACTCCACTCGACAATCCTCAGTCAGTATCATCAGATAATCCTCAGGATGTTCTGGTCTTTCTGCAACAAAACCAAAGTGGGAATATGGCCTTCTCTTGTTCTGTTCCTTCTTCCTAGAGACTCTTGCTCTCAATCATCCGTCCCCTATGTTGCTTACAAGTTATTGACGGCGCAACAAATCTCCGACACTCTGACGAGTTGGCAGGTGGAATATCCCAACTTTGTGACTACTCATACCAGCCAAGAAAAATTTGGATTACCTGCCGCAGGGTTTTCCTACGATTGTCCCTTTGATCCCCAAGTCGACGGTTGTCTCAACTACTACGCCGTAGTACAAGACTATGTGGCCCATCCACCGGGATCTACCAGCAGCAATCGACTTCCTACCATGTTGCTCAGTGGAGAACTCCATGGCAATGAACGGGTCGGACCGACCGCCGTCATGGAAGCCACGAGAATTCTCCTCGAAGCGGCGGCGTGTCAAGCATTGCCACGGTTTACCCACAATAATGACACGCAATGGGAATTGGACTCTGCCAAAGCAGTGACTTGTCAAGGTCGACTCTCCGATCGATACGGCATGTCCGATATCCAACAACAATGGCTGGCACGATTGGTCAGTACAAGGCGGATCATTGTCGTCCCCACGGCCAATGCGTTGGGGTATTATCGCAATGCACGAGAAGAAGGAAATGTCGATCCCAACCGTGATTTCCCCTATGATCATTTACCATCCGATACGGATGAATGTATGCGCACCATTGCGGCACGGACCATGAATGAACTCTTTCGGCATTATATGATTAGCAACAGTTTTACATTTCACGGTGGCACCGAGTTACTGGGATATGAGTGGGGCAATCCGACCCATTTTGGATACGTGTCACCCGATGATATCGCCCAAGATCAATTGGCACGATCGTACAGTGTCTACGGTGGGAGCTTTCAGGGGAACAATGGGCGATATCATCCCAATTATTTATACGGGGATATGAATTCCATCATTTACTATGTCCGAGGAGGATTCGAGGATTATGCCTATGCGGGGAGTTGGGACAATACCAACATGGTCGTCTGCAATCCCAACACATATGGTGGATATCCAGCGGAAAAGACTACCTATGATGCCGGGATGCTTCGTTCCTTCAACATGTTGGCAGAAACCAGTTGGGTCAAATCACCCAATGACAATGATTTGGGAACATCTCTGAATGTCTTGTACGAAAACAGTGACTCTGGCAACACCAAGAACCGACGACAAAGAAGAAGGACCCAAATTGGAGATGATGACTTTTATCCCTCGGCGTCGGCACGGCTAGAAGCCAATGAACGCATGGCACAGGGGCATATTCCACGCAATATACGTCTCTCCATTGCCGCTATTGAAATGATCCACCCCTATGTACGCATCACAGCTGTCGATGGCTTGGAATTGCCCGATGATATTGTGCCATTGGCATCTCGTGGGTACAGTGACCATCCGGCTTGCAACAATCGTGCTTTGGTATTGGATGCTCAAGAACGATTATTGGAACAAGCCGTCAAGACGGGAGCACTCCCCGTCATGGAGATCCCACTGGCGGACACTGGTGGCCTCCTCGATCTGCAGTGGACCGTGGGAGGTGCCATGACAATTGATCAAACACAGTTATGGGTAGCTGCTATCGATGATAGTGCTGTAGCGGCGAATGATGCAACTGCCTGGTTGCAAGACTACATTTGTGGAGATCCTTTGAACGAAGTCATGTCCCTGTCCCAGCGACTGGAGCCAAATGCCATCAAAGCAGCGTTTACCGCCGTGGGCACACCACAACAGGGCACTGGATTCTTCTCGGCATTTGGGCCTCGACCAATCCCACTGGATGACACAATGGGACCCGTCTTTCATTCTATATTGGATTTGGCTTCTTTGAACGTGAATGCGGAAACGACACTCGTCGTTTTGGCCAGTGCTCAAGTCGATAGTTCCTGGACACAGCTGCCAGTCAACACGCCAGTGGCACCATCGAACACGGGACCACAGTCTCACATGGTCCAGGTCAGGACCAATGCGAATTGGAAACATGTCAATAGCCAGGGCTATGTTGTTCAAGGACAAACCGAATTCTTCACGGAACCTATTCTGATACGATTGTTGGATAGCGGCAGTAGCGTGACAGCGGCAACACTGGTCAACGACCGATTCCAAAAGCCATCGGAACGACCAGGTCTCAGTACCACGGTCCCGGACAACACGGTGACAGGGAGCGGTAGCGGTAGTGGCATCAGCGTTGGTGGTGTCAGTGTAAACATTGTACAGGTGGAAGACATTACAGAAGCCCCAACCCTCCAAACGGAAGCGCCTACGTTCGATGGATCCGTCGAGGCAACAATGGAGGCAACGATGCCCCAGAAACCCTTCTTCCACCGCCCTCATGAAGAACAAGAGAAGCAATGCAGAACCTTCCCAATCCGCAGCTGACATTCAACGTAGTAGCAGGACTGAGAAAACCAGTCCTTCGGACAATCCTGGTCAA